TACAGAGTATGCGTGAGCGATTATTGATTAAAGTGGTTAAAAAGGAGAAAATGAAGAGTACAAATATATGAAACAATAACTGTTTTGTTAATGAAGTCTAGTTCAATTAGAGTACATGAGTTTTTGTAAAATGTTTACGCTGATGAATTTTTATGGATCAAAAGTAGAAAATAATTATAACATTATTGTTTAGTATTGTTACTTTTAACAAACCAAACCTATTTTTTAACGGCCACTGTGTATGATGTATATAAAATTTCGTCGTGCCAACCGATCACTGTATTAACAGTGAGATCTGTCTCTCACAAATTACAAGAAAGGTGCAATGTTTTTAGGAATCGTAGTTTATAGTTTGCATTTTCAAAATTTGTATGAACATATATACTAGAAGATTAGTATAATGTATCGTACTTAAAATTCTGCTTCATTTTTCTATTTATTCTATTTCCGTCCAACAACATAAGTATGTTGTAGAAATATTCAGGACGTGAAACAATTGACTAAGAATAAAAAACCTTGAATCAGAAGGTGATGGCCTACATGTTTCATGAGCAAAGCTACACCATTACGAACTCTGAATCTATCAGAACAGTGGTCTAGTCCAAGTGTGTTTGATTGTGATATTGCTCTCTCATCAGGTTTCACATGGCAGGTCATGGCTACCACTGTGGTCCGGTTACCATAATGGCTAAAAAATTGTAAGGAAACACAAAAAGTGTTTGTTTTTTCAGTTGCCAATTTCTTCAGTTTTTTGGTATTTTAAAACTGGTTCAAGGGTTTGGAATAATTCAGGTTGAGTTTTGAACAACGTAATCATTTTAAGATTATGAGAGGTGTTCTTGTAAATACAACATGGCACAATATTATTAGTGTGTATATATATATTGCCACTCTGAAGCTAAGATATTTGGATGGCACAAACCCTAATGCAAACATGAAACAGTGTTAAGCAGTAGCACACAACGTGCCTAACATTATAAAGTAGGAAAAGTAATGTCTAACTACTATTAAAAAAACACTACATTGATGCTGTTTTCTAGCCAAACACAGTTGTCAGAAGTTCAGAAGCTATAGATCCCAACAAACCAACCCATGATCAGGGCCTGAAGGACCAGTCTTCAGAGCACTGCAAATAACAAACACCTCATTAATGTGCCTACTTTGCATTTTAGCACACTGGTTTCTTGGGAATTTAAAACTCATGCAACATATCTCAGGACCTAAAAGGAGAGTTTAGTCTTAAAATATTTACTGAAGAGATTGATTATTTAAAGAATGTTAATGTATAGAGAGATTGGTGCTTTTGGAAACTAGTTCCAAACTACCAGAATCAAATTTGACATTCTGAATGAGAATCTTTGAGGACATTTCAGAGCTAGAAGAGTTGAAAGCATGGAGGAACTGAAGGGGACCTTCTGGTGTGAATACTCCAAAAGTTATGCATCACCACCCCCTGCTTTATTGAAAAATGTGAACTTTCAAAATTAAATATGATTTTGAAGAAGAATTCAAACACCCCCACACACTAGTTGATCAAGATTGTTGGAGCATAAACTTAGAATTTTGAAAAAGAAAAAGAAATTAATGGTATGACTTCTATCTATTTTGAGATGTTTAGATAGCACTAAAAACAAATATAAGATTTTGTAATGTAAAGGTTAGAAGGGAATAGAATGACAATTTTCATTCACTTATCTTTTTAATTCTTCTCTCTATTTTTTTTTACTTCTTTCTTCATTTTTGTTTTCTTCTTCAGGGCAGTTTAAATTATTTGAATTACCAGGTTCTCTTCTGTATCAGCTTCTGATATTCAAATTTTCATTAGTTCATTTTTTTCTAGTTAATTGCTTTGTTCTTTTGATTTTCTTCATGATTCCTTTTCAATAGTAATTCTTACCATTTTGAGTGTAAATAATGCTTAAGCTCACATGTCTATGGAGGATCTAAAATTCAATTTCTGCATGAGAGTTGCTTTGGTAGAATTTTGAGATATCAGATGTCGGTATAATTTAATTCTTTGAAATCAATGATATAACTAATACTGAATTTCCCTAATTTTGGTGGATTGATTCATTCCTATTGAATTCCATTTTTTCAATTCTGTCTTTGTGCCAAAATACATCAACCACATGTTAAATTCTTAACTTGATTCATTTACTTGCGTTGATCCTTGAGAAATAAGCTTAGTTGGATCCATATTCAATAGTTAATAGAGTAATTTGGCATGCTAAACACCTATAACTCTTCCTTTAGGTGTTTGGTCTACTTTTTCCCAAACCTGTGAACCTAATCTACTTCTCTAACAATATTCCTTATAATACTGCCCTGCCCTTGTAGTTTGATTTCATGAACCTGAGTTGGCAGAACCCCACTTGTTCATCTTTTTTAAATATATATGGAATGACTTGAACTGAAAAACACTTAGCATTTCTATTACATTCTGTCGTTTCCATTAATTTTATTGAAAGAAGAAACCATCAAACGTAATATTTTGGCCTCTATTCTTCTTAATGAATCATTTTCCATGATTGATCAAATTATGTATTCAGTCTACAACTTTTTTTTTCCTGTGTTTCTTTTACACTGTTGAATTGAATATTCAACATCATGTCAAGATGTCGTATCTGGTCTTTTATCCAAAATTTACAACATCATGGCTTTTATAAATAAACTACAGAAGAAAGAAATTGGTGTATCTGGGAAACAGCTACATCATGTTCTGAGGATGAAGAAAAACGAAGTATAAACATTTGAAGGGGCTGAACTCTATGGAAAAGAAGCAGGGCGATTCTGTAAACCGTGACTTGTCACAGACTCTGTATATTGAATCCTCTCTTTAAACTCTATGAATGTGTTGTTCTGCAGAAGGACTCACTTGCTCAACTACAGTATCCAATCTACTTGCAACATTCCCCATGCACAAAAAAACAACTTAGTACCTTCAATAACTTCATTAGTGACAAAAAGACAATGCCTTTTAATCCTTCCATAACAATAGGGTCAGTGCATGTATTATATTAACTGGGGATATTATGATGTTTCTATTTCTTGCACTTTCAACCTAAACTTTGAACGCAGAAAGCGCCACTTTTCTCTATTATGGTCCCAATGTCAAGTTGCAGCAGTACCTCTGATCAAAACTGGTTGATGAATTAAGGGCCTAAGTCAACTGATCTATTTAATTATCATTCATGTCCTGTTGTTTTCTCTTGTTGTGCATATCCTGATATTAGATCAGACCAAGTTAATTATGCTAACAAAAAGCTGTTTGGGGCCTACAGCTACAACTACAATGTGCAACTCATCACAGAGCAACAATGATAGCAAACTGGGCCAATTGGAGGGAGAATCTACTCTTCCCCATTCTCATCCAACTCCAAACTTTACAGAGTCAACACTCACTGCCTAAAACCTAAAACCTAAAACCAATAACAACAACATGCTATTCTTGTCAATCAAATCAAATGCCATTATTTATACAAGATAGCATGAACAGTCTGAATAACAAAACAAAAAAAGAGGTAGCAAAAAAGGAGTTAGACTAGCACCAGATACATGCTGTCCTTCATAAAAATACAAACATCCTTAATATATTTCTCTCACTGCAGAAACACTCTAGGGCCCCCCAAAACCAAAAAATAAAAAACATTTCTTTATAGTCTGTGAAATTGGTTCTTGAACATTGCTTCCAGTTTAGACACGTGCTTAGAGCAAGACCGTTAGGGTGGCCACTGGTGTCGTACTTTCTCACGGATCCAGGAGGGGACCAGTTGACCACATTCAACATTACTCCCAAAGCCTAAGGCAAAGCAACATTGCCTCACCTTCTCTGCATATGCTTTTGGGAAGAGAGAAAGAATGGATGGATGTACCTCATCCATAACATGGTGGTGCCATTATATTTGATGCTGCTCAATGCTGCAATGATTGTACAAAATTATGTTCCCAATGTCCATTTACAAGATTAATATCCAACATTAATTTCTCTGGCATGATTTATGTACACCACGTACCACTATCATTCAAAGCTCCACGGATTTAAAGAATATCAATTTAAAATTCTGATCTTCGTGGTCACACCGCCTGATCCCACAATAAATCCATTTGAACTTATCCACCCTTTTTCTTTTATCATTATTGTTATTATTATCATCATCAATGATTAACATGGAAAAGACTCTCATATTTTGCTCAAACTTTATTCGTGATTCTGGTTTAAGTACTAGTTTATTCGAGTAACTGAGTTAAAAGGGCATGATTTGGTTTACGTTTTAACTACATCCAATGGTGGTATCTGGTTCAATTAAAACTGTTTTTTTTTATGAAGAATACATGTAATATGTAATTTGATATCTAAAGAAAGATTTGGTTCTGTTTCTTGCCTAAAGAGACATGGTACGTGAAGAGTTTGCCATGAAAATGATGGATAGAAGAATTACTAAGACTCTTGACTATATAACAAGACCCATGTTCTAGTTTCCCTAAGCTTACAGAAGCAATCATAAGAAAGAATATATTAAAAAAGCAGAGTAATCCAAAATTGCACAATCTATCCATTAGATGGGCCACTGGGATATTTCTATATTGGATGCATGTATTCCTGACCCACGCAACAAGCTTCCAATTCCGAAAGCTTCTCTCTTTTCCCTGCCCCTCCAATTCTTTTCGGCACAGTTATCTCTTGTGTGTTCCTTTTCCCTTTCTCGTCAGAACAAATTTTTAACCAAAACCACATTGCTTGCTGGTTGCAACGAGCCAATGAACTTTCTGCAAAATAGCATCTCCTATTCCACTCACAAAAGTATAGGGCTTTTACTTTACATTGAGGACATAACAGATTGGTCTGCCTCATATTTTTCTCTATTAGTGTTAGAGCCTGCACTCAGGTCTAAAGAGTGGTGGGGAAAACACTCCAAATACTGCATGGGCCACCCCAAATTGTTGTTTTCCTATGAAGATATCTGTTAGCATGCAATCTACTTGGGAATCAATCACATACATTGAAGGGTATTTTAAATCACCTTTGTGATCCTTTTGAGTAGTAGTAAAAAGAAGAGAACATGTTATTTTTTGTTTTTTTGGATTAGGTAACAGTCATTCACCAATTACCACATCAGCCCCCACTAATTTTCATTTTTGTCAACCTTTTTCCTCCTTGTGGACCCCAGTTTTCCAAAAGTCCCATTTCTCTTGTATTTATCTCACATTACCACGAGTGCCAAGCCAAAGACACAGATGGACTTACCAGAAGTGTTGTCATCCCTCATTCATCATACAGAGAACTAGAAACCACAGCTTCTTCAACACAACACAGAGAGTGAGAGAGAGAGCAAAACATAGACACAAAGAGGGATGGGTAACAACAGGTTCAAATTATCAGACATGATCCCCAATGCCTGGTTCTACAAACTCAAGGACATGGGAAAAGCAAGAAAGCAAACCCCATCTCAGTCCAAGAAGAAAAAACAACCTTCACCAGCCTCAAGCACACCACCATCAAAACCAAAACAACCCCACCAATTCAATCCCAGAAAGTCTTACTACTTCACAAGGGAGCTTAACCCAAATGATAGAATCTACACCTCACAAGCAAATAACCAAAATGCCAAATGCAACAATTCCCCTGAAGCCCCCAGAAAATCATCCAAACAAAGATTCAAGAGAAGAACTGCAAGGACTTCTTCACCTAAGTTTGCTGTAGCCGCTAACAATGACAACTCCTCATCACCACATGATAGCTCTGCCGAATCAGAGTACCCTGACCCAGAATTCAGAACAGACCGTGTTCTTGCCACTGAAGCATTTGATGAAACGGTTTCTTGGACCAACTCTTTCGCCTGCAAGGTACACTCCGACGCCAAGGACATCATCATTGAAGTAGACAACAATTCCACAGAAAGAAAAGACGATAAGCTAGAAGGGTATGAATATGATTCCTTCTCGGACCTCGTGCTTCCACCAATTGTGACCAAGCCTGCAAAATTCGATGACTTGCTGAGTGATGCCAAGAAGAAAGAAACCAAAACCAAAACCAAAACCAAAATGGATGCACCAGAAGAACCAAACCTGAAGGGACCTCTAAGAGTTAAAATTGTGAAGGAAGGCACTGCACCAATGAAGGAACATAAGAACACCCCTGGTAGGAGATTCTCTGTGAGCTCTTCTCCAGGGGTGAAGCTGCGGACGAACTCGCCGCGAATTGGCAGCCGGAAAACTCAGGCACATGGCCGGAGGAATGTGTCGTCCGCCGCTGGCTCCGGCTCCCGGAGAAGCCTTTCGGATAGCTTTGCAATTATGAAGTCATCACTGAATCCTCAAAGGGACTTCAGAGAATCAATGGTGGAGATGATTGTGCAGAACAACATAAGGACATCAAAGGATTTAGAGGATCTTCTTGCTTGCTATCTTTCTCTTAATTCAGATGAGTATCATGACCTCATTATCAAAGTGTTCAAGCAAATATGGTTTGATTTAACTGATAATTAGTAGAAGAACAAGTAACCAATTATTGAGATTTGAGACCATTCTAAACGAGTTTCTCAAGTTTCTGTTTCTCATACAATGTATGTTCACATGTAAGTAATATTATTAATATCTTGGTTAAGTTTAATATGTATAAATCTTACTCCTTAGTCAATATTTAAGGGTGACACTATCCAAGAAGTTTGCATTTATGAAATGGAAAAACGAAATTCAATGCAGAAAATTAAATGCAATTTGAGGCCTTTTTGTTAACTAGGAAATAGTTGAGTTAATTTATATATGAGCAGCTGAGTTCAGTTGCATATGACTCCGCAATAGTGTGGAATTGGCATGCAAACGTGTAAAATGGTTTTTGAACACTAGCTTCATTTGGAATTTTGGACAATTTTCTGTGAGTTTAGACAGGCAAAAAAAGTTTGCCACAAACGGGTGATTGTATTGTTTAGCTTTCTGTCATCTTCGTCAAGAAAAAACTTGGAGCATAAAATTTGCTTCTGAATTTTGGTACCTGCATGGACCCAAAGTTGTTTGAGAACAAGACATAACTGGCACAAAGTTGTATAAATTGTTCATATTGTAAGAGACAACCAGTTGCAAAAACTGACAACTTCTTCCGATAAAGTTTGGATTTTTTATTATTTCCTTTTTACTCTAAAGAAATTGCCCTTTTAAGTACACCACCTTCTTGATTTCACGTCTTTCATCCCAAAATTTAAAGGGTTTCTTTCCTAGCCAGAACATGCAGCTTTTAAGATCTTGTATGTTACTTCTCCTCTCAACAACACAGTCACTGAGGAGAAAAATATATATTCACTCAAGTTATTATAGCACATTACTTTTCACATATTTTTCTCATCAACTTGTTATAAAATTAAAGTGTATGTTAACATAAAGCGTCTCATTAAAACAACTATAAATAGTATCTAGATATCAGTCTCCTCTCAGCAATATTTAAAGCTCAAAAGTCTAATGCAAATTGCTGTAACAGTCTTTTTCACATATCTGCAATTTCGAATGAAAAAGTCAAAAAAAGATACATTTTTCATGTCCATTCCATATGTTTTTTAAATAGAGATATTTCTCCCCTAATCATGATCTTGAGAATTCAAATTGCTATAGTCTCTCTCATTTGCGTTAAACCCTATGAACTGTGGATCAAATGAGGTAAAAAAAAAAGGTATTTTCCTGAAGTTTGTCTAAAGGTGAAAGTTTGATTTTCAAAAGCTAAAGCAAGCAACTTGGTTTATTACAAAAGTTGTTTGAAGAGTTTAACTAGAGACATAGGCACATCTGGTGACTGATGAGGACCTTTTGTGTGCCCTAGGCTTATATGAATAGTTTTGGTGTGTGCCCTATGCTTATAATATAAATAGTTTCTCACAGTGTGCTATAACATATGGGTGTGGGGTCTGTACTAAAAATTATTGGGTAAGTTGAATATCCAACGTTTAACAGATGAAAACACAGAAAATGAACACTTTTAATATAATTCAATGAATTTTCTTTACTCCTCGAATTATTTTTATTTTATGATATATAGTAACACGTGACTGAAATTACTAATAATACCATGCAAAGGATTCATATTGATGATGGATGATAAACTAAACTAAATTGAAAGCATAAAGTGGAGGAGTTTCTTTTCCTATTCCTCTTGGTTGAACATTTGTGTAAGCTTTTGGCTTTACCTATCCCTATATTCCAATATTTTATGTGGCACATACAGTTGAAAGGAAAGCCTCCATTGATAATGTTGCCTCTTTTTACGACAAAGGAGGTTCTAGCTTGACAAAAAGACCAGAAGATAATAAAATATAATATATTTGAAATGGTTATTTATTTTTCTGAGGACTGTGTGATTTTAGCAGTACCAAGTTGCATGTGAGCTTTAAAATCTCACTTGTCACTGGAAAAAATTATGGAACTTCGTTCTCATAAGCTACATATTTTATGTCATACTTATATTAAGTATTAGCTTTGACCCTTTGATCATGATTCATTTAAAAAGTGTGGTTTTGATGGAGACATTGGCATGGCAGAGGAGCCATCACAAATATTTAAAAATAGTTACCTTACCCCACATTTTTCTCTACAATAATGCACTCCACGATTAAACTATAGTCTGCTAATTATTGTTAGAACCTGAGTATTTTTTTTTCTATAAGTACGTAAAAAAATCATGTTGGTTTAGTCAACTGGTGAAATTTGTTTTCTTTTGTGGTTAATGTATCTCATTCTCACTGTATTTAAATAATATAACTCTAGTAGTATGTTTAATTTAGAGGATTGAGAATTGGTTTCATAGTTTGTTTGGCAAAAATGTAAGAATGGTGAAATATTTGAAGGGTAATATCTCTTTTTTTTTTCTTCTCCTTGGAGTTTTAACTTTCACTTTATTTTTATTTATTCTAATCTAATTTATCAATGTGTTTTGTACTAAACATAGTATAAAATAATTATCCTCATTTTTCACTCTTAGTTTGTTTTGTTAAGGTTACTTAATGAAAAATTTAATTCTATATAATTAAAATAATTGCTTCAATATTAACTCTAAAATATTTATGTTTAATGTATGCTTCGTGATCACCTCACCCACAATCAAACATTTTTTTATTATATTATGCCAAAACTCGTGAACTCCAATTTGAACTTCCATGACCCAAATTTTCCATTCTTCTGAATAATTTTTCAACATTCAATTTTTCTATGTTGTAATCTTATGTTAATTAAGTTTTTAGAAAAGGAAATAGTATAACATTAAAATAATAGGCATAAAATTTAAGGATGCAAAAACTTCAATTGGTGAACTTTACACTACATACTACTTTTCTTTTTTAAAAAAGTTCATTTCACGACTCCTATCTTTCATTCTCATTTCTTTCAATTCCATATCCAAACATAAGTCTGTCAGAAACTAATCACATCATTGATTAGCTGAAGCGTCAAGGATTAATTTTCACCGATTAAAAGTTTAATCAAAGTTTTTTATTGAAAACAACTACAACATTAAGTAGTGAAGTATAGATTTAGAAAAAATTTGTTGAAGTGAAGGGAGCTAACCTTATTATGCTCATGCTTTCTTATTTACTTTTAACTTTGTTTATGCTTGTTATTTAACATGAGATAGTAGTAGTTGTAAGGGAAGCTAGAACTATTCTTTTACAATTTTTGTTGATTTTATAGTTGAATTAAGTTGTATATACGTGAGTCTAAGTTGAAATTGACATGTGATTGTAATTTTGGTGTGACTCTATCAAATTCTTGCTCAAGCAAGAAAATTCTCGCTCAAGCGAGAATACCACTGCAACTTAACCTAATTTCTATCAAATTCTCACTCAAGCGAATAAATTCTAGCTCAAACGAAAAAAATTCTCATCCAAGCAACAATATGCTGAGTCAAGCAATACATTACTTTTCATTCTTGATTTATCTCGCAATAATTAGTAATCATGTTTCGTTAATCGTCGGATAAAGCTTAATCTTTGCAGTTGGTCCTAGACACATGCTTTTTTATTTTGACCATTTGAATCTTCAATGTAAGGTTTGTAGTGAGAGTAATTTTTCGCTTAAGATTCCCTTAGTGTAGGTTGCTAATAGTTTTGAACTTTATTGCTTGTTTGGTGCATAACATTTTCCATAGTTTCATAATTAAATTGATTCTTTTTGCATTTAATTCACGATTCGATTATCTTTAATTTGAATGTTAGAATATAAGTTTTGGAGTTTTATGGTGAAAGAAATATTTTTTATCATTTTGATGTGTACTGTATAGTATGTACTGATCGATGCATGAGAAGTTCATGATTCGTTATGAATAACCAACCGCGACTCATGTTGGAAGCAACCATTCGATCGGTTATGCGGCAACACAATTAGCAAGAAGGGTCGAAAACATTAATGACTAATTAATAAGTTTAATGGCCATATCAAGTACAAATATACGATATCAATGAGTAATTAACAGGTTATATCACCTAAAAATATACCGCGTTAATGGTTAATCAATGTGTTGGGTACCACAAGCTCTATAAATATACGATTGATGTTCAGGTAAAATAACCTTGATCTATCATAATAAAATAAAGACATCTTTGAAAAAGATATATGACTTGAGCGTCGGGGTGTCTTCTGCAGGTCAACAACCCATTAGAGTGGATAGCGTTCTCGGAGAGAATTGAACGATTGAAAGAGAGTAGAGCAAGGAAGGACGATTGACCCTCGACCAATTCAACCAAGGAAGGATGACCGACCCTCGACTAATTCAACCCAAACATATGGCGCCCACCGTGGGGCTGAGTGACATCCCTATGAAACCAGAAAGAACAAGACGCGCACTCAGTCTCGACATTGCTACTTCGGATCAATAGGTTTTGCAACAAAAGAAAAAATTCATAAAAATTTCTAAGGGAATGTCTTTTGTTTTGATAACTTTCAGGTAACCATTAGAGGTTTACAAGGCAAAAATATTACATATTTTGTTTAACCCATATATATTTTTGTGAGTAAAAATATCTTGCACAAGAAGGTTCAACCTTACCACTCGCTCAGTTGGACCACCAACTTTCAACCTTGTTAGGTTCCAATGACTCTTCATTACAAAAAAGATTATAAAATATTTAATATTTTGTTTAACCCATATCTATTTTTGTGAGTAAAAATATCCAGCACATGTAGGTTCAACCTTACCGCTCGCTTAGTTGGACCACCAATGTTTCCAATGACTCTTCATTATAAAAGAAGATTATAAAATATTTATATTTTGTTTAACCCATATTTATTTTTGTGAGTAAAAATATCCAGCACAGGTTACACCTTACCGCTCGCTCAGTTGGACCACCAACGTTCAGCCTTGACAGGTTCCAACGACTCTTCATTATAAAAGAAGATTATAAAATATTANGAGGAGAAAAATATATATTCACTCAAGTTATTATAGCACATTACTTTTCACATATTTTTCTCATCAACTTGTTATAAAATTAAAGTGTATGTTAACATAAAGCGTCTCATTAAAACAACTATAAATAGTATCTAGATATCAGTCTCCTCTCAGCAATATTTAAAGCTCAAAAGTCTAATGCAAATTGCTGTAACAGTCTTTTTCACATATCTGCAA